AGGCCGCCCGCGACGAGGACGAAGGCGGTCTCCCGCACGAGCCGCGCGCCGTGGCTTTCCAAGGCGTCCAGCCGCGCCGACCGCGCATCCAGCCGCGGGGCGTCGAACAGCAAAGGGGGTTTGTCCAACGCGAGGTACGCCGCGTCGCCTTTTTCGAGGGCCGTAAGGAGGGATTTGCCGTTGCGGATGTACTGCTCGACACCGCCGTGGTAGTGCGCGCGGAAGGCCTCGAGCTCGCGGAGGAGGGCGAGCTGGGAGGGGGTGTAAGCCTCAGGGGTGGTCGGCCAGCCGGTGAAGAGGTGCCCTTGGTCGAGCTCCGGCCCGCAAAGACGCTCCCGAAGGGCGTGAAGTGCTTCCAACGACGCAGAACTCATCGAGGGAGGGGGGTTTCTTTGGTTGAGAGAGTAGGTAGTCGGCGAAGAGGTACTCAAGATGACTACTTGAAATAAGATGGCTTGAAAAGGAAAAAATATTGACGCAGAGAAAGTGGTATGAAGCTAAAAATAATGCTAGCTGAGAGTAATCGAAATGAAATAGAAAGGAGATGGGAAGAAGCAAACACATTTAACGCAGAGTTTTTGCTTTTGTTTTCCATTTCTTTCCAATTGCAAAATTGTAGTGAGAAAAGACCACACCGATTCAGAAATAATGAGCTGACGCCCTCCGCTAGAAACATCCCCAAGAAATAGAGTTGTAGAGAATGACACAGGGTATAAAAATTAAGCACGTTTAAGACTAAAATACTATAGAATAAATATATAGATCTACTCTTTACATAAACATGAGCAAAAGATCTTGCTGCGCTCTTTCATCTCATCCTCTCCATTTTTACTATCGACACTCAAGAAAAAAAGCGTTAAAAAGAAAAGTTTATCGAAAACGTTGAAAATAAAATACTAAATTTAACCACCCACAGTCCTTCCCTCAGGAGTTTGCATTCAAGATAATATATTTCCGGATATACTCCGCATGATTCGGGTTCATCAGCGAATTGAAGTATTTCTTTTTACCACAATACAGGGTGGCACAGCGGGAGGGATCGTAGGCCGAGTGGCATTTGAAGCAGGCCTCGTAGCTCGGATAATTCAACAGCAGGCAAGTCGAGCACAGCCAATCCGCGGAGATCCCCCGCACCATCCGATAGGGGTTGATTTTCTTTTCATTTGTCCCCACCGAAGTCGAACCCATCCTGGAACGATGGCGAGGAGGGGGGATAAACGCACGACGCAGAGGTAGACTGGGCGGGCAGGGCCCTTCCCGAAACTCGTAGCAGCGCAGCGAGTGCTCACGAGGGGCCCGTGGGGTAAGAGAATCGCCCTTATTGAAACAAAAGGGCTCCTGATCCGCGCGCGCGAAAACGAGGTGAAAATCGTGATTTTCCCGTCGCCTCCGCTCCTCTTCGGTGAGGCTCTCAGCCGCGTCCTCCACCACCTTTTGCAGCCCCGCCACATTCGCTGGGGGGAGCATCGCCACGGCGTCATATTTATCCTTCCCCACACCAGTGAAGTCAACGTTGAAACTCCGCGGGAAGGTCTCACGAAGATGCGAAGGGGGCTCCCTCATAACCGATCGCAACCCTGTTGCAAGCAGATCGCAACTCGGAGGAGGGAGAATACAAAGAAGCTGCGTGAGGGGATCGATGGGGATGCGATCCGCCGGATCGATCGGCCGCGGGTCCTGCATAGTCTTGCCGTGTTTGATTAAAAATTTGCACAAATCCAGCGCAAAAGGAGCGTGATAAAAGTCATACACACACGACCAGCTCACGTGTGTGATCCCACGGCTGTAATAACGCCACACAAAGCGCATCATATCGATATAGCTTCGACAAGCTTCCTCTACTCGCTCGGGGGAGATGCTAGTGCTTTTGTAATAAGGCTCCCACCACAACATATCTGTGGGGTTACCAAACCGACCCGCCGTCACTCGCCGCCTCTCCGATGTTGCGTTAATGTAAAAATAACGGAACTTCGCGACCTCGACTTTCGCGTAGCCTCGGAAAAAACGCGCGAGCTGCTCAAGATTAATCTCGCGATCCTCAAGGGTCAAATAACCATGAGGGAGCACATCCATCACGTAGACTTCCAACGCGTTATCCAACGCGCCATCCAGGCAAAATGCCCCCGGCAGCCGAGGGATGAAATCATTCCCCAGGATCATCGCGAGTATGATGAAGTCGTCGATCAAATGACGATGCCGCAAGGCGAGAGGGGCCCCAGAAGAGGTGTCCACTTTAACCTCCCTACTCATTTCATGGCCTTTAACGCGGCAAAGTTCGTAAATCTCTGTAAGAAGAGCGTTGGCGACGGCGTCGAGGTAGAAAAACTCACGACAAGCCCTCCCAGGGTCCTCCGTCGGCGCGATCCCCGCATCCATCGTGAGGTCGTTTTTAAAAGCGTTCCAATGGCGCAAAATCACGATCCTCGGGAGGTGGAGGGAGAGTCCGAGGAAGATCAGATCGGCGTCGGTCCCGACCAGGACGTGAGCGCCCCCTTCATCGTCGCAGAACTCCCGGTGAGCGGTGCGCCCACGGAGGAAGTTAATGATCTTATGCTCCCCCTCGCACGGGGTGTTGGCGTCAGAGAAAATAACGGTGAGCCCCGCCCAGGTGCGCTCTCCCGACGCGAGCTTCCGCTCCACGTGGGCGCGAACCCCCACGCAAAGCGCTTCCATGAATTCCGTTCCGGGGGAAATACAATTCTTGTCGAACTTCCGCATGTCCTCAACCCTTTCTGACGAGCTGGGAGAGGAAGCGTTGAGGCTACGAAGAAGTATATCGGATGCATCGGACGAATCCTCTGAACCGTGGGATAAAGCCTCCCGAGTCAGCCCTACTCCGGCTGCTTTTAAATCCTTCAAGACTCTTGCGTGTTCCTCGGGTCTGAACGCTGCTTTGATGGATCGGAGCTTCGCCTCAGCTTTCCTAGCGGGGATCGCGGAGTGGACGTATCGTCGCGATCGCTGCTGCATCATCTTCGCCCGCGGTGCCACCCCATCCACCGCGATGTATAATATTCGTTTCGGCCTCACATCGGAGACAAGGGCGTCTAAATCGTCGCAGATGTTGTCAATCTTTTCTTGCACGGAGCGCGCCGCCACGTTCGGGTCCTCTTCGCTCGGGCAGAAGGGGTGAATGAGGCCCTTGAAGTCGATGTAAAGGCCGTGTACATATCTAGGGTAGTCGTTTTTCAGCATCTAGGGATACTTTCGAATCAGCCAAGCTGCGAACTTTAAAACTCCCATTATGGATGCGTTTTTGTTCCTTTTTATCTTTCTCACTGTCTCTCTTTTCCTCCTCTATCTTCGAAGAGGCTCGATAAGCAAGGTCCTCCTTATTGTCTAAGAAATCTAAGGGGGTGCAGAGCTGCACATCAACAGCAATCGATAACACAAATCCTTGCAGTAAAAAAAAAAGGGGATAAGAAGGAAAGTATAGGAAGAAAGCATGCGAAAGGAGCTGAAATACCCCCGCAACACATCGCAAAGCACAAAGCTGCGGTACCCAAAAGATGCATTGCTCGCTTGTCAGAGAAACAACTCTACAATAAATGCACCCCCACCCCCACCCCCTCCACCTTATGTCACACTGCGGACAATCCATTTGTCCAAGCTCGGAAAGGGCCCCAGCACATGGATACTGATGTAGGGAGTATCCTTCATAAAAGCGCAGACCCATCCGAGTGTATAGATAGGGAAAAGGAAACATCATTGCGGCGCTGCGCCTAGAATACGTCCATGGGTATCTACGAAGAGAAAAAGAAAGCAGAAAGAGAGAGTGGTAAAGGGCCACAAAAGAAAAAAACACCCCTTCAGATATGCCGCGATCCCTCTACAGAGGTCTACCACGAGGATCCACTTCTCGACTTCGCCTTTTGCCCCTCCAGCCACTCCACGATGTTGAGATCGAGATTCGGATGCGGCTTTGAGGAGGCAGGTTTCGCAGCTTTACGGCTCGCCCGCACGGAGGAGCCCCGAAACGCCCCCAACTCCCCACACACGGCTCCCTCTTGCATCTTTCCACGACCCCCCTTCCCGCTCAACCCCTCCCCTCGTTTTTTCGCGAGAAAGGACCGCGAAGGCGTCGCGGCGGGGGATTTGTCGCCCTTCAGGCGCGCCTTTTCGCGAGGGGTTTCAACCCCCCTTTCTTTTGTTTCCCCGCGTGGCTTCATCAACGACTCCAGCCGATTTACCTTTTCCATCGCACGCCGCAGCTCGCGGAGGAGGATCAACTCCCTTCCTTCTTCTTCTTCTCCTTCTCCTTCCCCTTCCCTCTTCCCTTCTCGAAGCCGACGCATCGCCTCCTTCAACGCGAGCACCGCGCGATTCAGACGAGTCGCCTCCCCTTCTAATCGCAAGCGAACCTCCCGAAGAAGCGCGGCCTTCTCCTCCTTCCTCTCCGCCCTTTCCTTGCCTTCTTCGCCTTCCTTTTCCACCGTTTCGGTTCCTTCCAGGAGGGCAGCGCGATCCCGCCGCCACTCCGCGCGCATCCGCTCTAACCGCTCCCGCCACGATCGCAGCGCGCGGCGACGACGACGGAGCCCCGCCCGCAGCGAACGCTGCCGCGCGTGGAGGAAATCCACCCCAACCGGATATGAAAGTGGAGCAGAAAATGTCGCTGAATGCGGATGCGAAGGCGAAAAAGAGGGAGGAAAAGAAGAAGGCAACGGCAGAAGCGGAGGGCGGGAAGGCCCCCACGAGGAGGGCGACGGCGCGGGGAAACGCGAGGGCAGGGGAGGGGGAGTGCGCTCGACGCTGCTCGCCCGAAGTGGAGGGCGCGCGGGAGGGGTGGAAAAGGCCGTTGAGGCGCGGATGCAATCGGGAGGGGGGGGGCGGTCGATTTCCCGCCGAATTGCCCCTCGCAACTCCGCCAGGCGACGCCGCCACCGCTCCCGCAGCGCCGCCTCCTCCGCGGCCGCGTGATCACGGCGAATAAAGGCACTAAAATTGAAATCCTCACCCCAACTCCTCCCCCTGTCCATTTCCTTTTCTTTTTCTGTTGTTGATTGCTTCTCCTCCAGCCGACGGGTGGTGGAGGCGATTTCGTCGTCGATCCGCGCGATCTCCTCTCGTAGCTGCGCGAGTTCCTCCTCAAGAGCCTTTCCGCTCTCTTCCGACTCCTCAAAAGACGGGAAAGAAGCGGGGGGAGGAGGAGCCGTTGCTTCCGTTGAAATTCTCGCGAGCACCTCTTCCACCTCGTGCAGGCGCTCACGACGGTAGGCCGCCGCAAACGCCGCGAGCGCCGCCGCGCGGGAGGAAATCGGCGACGAAAAAGAGGAAAAGGAAGAAGAAGGTGGTGGTGGTGGTAGTGGTGGTGGTGGAAGAAGAGAAGAAGGAGGAGGAGGAGGGATTGCCGCCGCCACGATGCGCGTCGTTTCACGCGTGAAATCCTCCACAGCGCGCGCGAGATCCTCCGCAAGACGGCGTTGCTCCACCGTGAGGCGCGAACGAACCGCAGCAATTTTCCTCCGTGCAGCCACCACGCGATGAAACTCCGCTGTGGCTGCCTCCAGAGCCTTTTCCGCTGCCGCCTTTTCTTCCTCGAGAGTTTTCACCTCCTTCACCGCTTCCCCCGCGGCCCTTTCCGCTTTGACTTCCCTTTCAGAGGACTCCTTCAGCCGTTTCTCCTCCGCGCGAAGGCGGTCGACCTCCCCGGTGAGCTCCTCCACCTCCCTCTTCGCCCGCTCCACGCGAGCTTCGTGCGCGGTGCTGAACTCCTCCTCCAGACGACGCCGCCCGAGGCGGAGGGCGTCATTTTCGGCGTTTTGCAGCTCCACCAACGCCGCCGCATTCGCACGCTCGATCGCTGCGAGCTCCGCCTCGATCTTCTCCTTTCGCGCGATTCTCATCGCATCCACGAGCGTCCTATTATCGGCAGAAAGTCGCGAACGAAGGGTCTCCCCCTCTCCCGCCTCTTTTTCCACGGGAGAAACCGTGGCGAGGGCTTTTCGCAGCGCCGCTACCCGCTCCTCCGCCGCGGCAAGGGCTTTTCGTCGCGCCCCTGCTCGCCCCGCCGCCTCCCGCCGCCGCGTCGCGAGGCTCCCGACGAACGCCGCCTTCGCG